CATGATCTGATCGCCGTCTGATCCGTGCCGGATCGGAGCCGTGCTTGCTCCGAACCAGCACCGTCTCCGAGTCAGCGACTGCAGAGGCAAAGGCATCCCCGGCAGATCCAGAATTTTGTCTGCCCTTTAAGACCAGCGAGGACTATACCTTCAATGTAAACTTCTGAGTATGACAACTTACGGCTAGCCGGCAGCTCTCTCCGGATTCGACGCAAAGCCTACTGTACTATTTCGATGATCACACCATGTCACCCGTCACCGAAGAAGTTCATTTTTCTAGGTGTTCATTTCTCAGCAATCACGCTAAATTCCCATAAATGGACGTCCGGCAGTTGCCGGATCAAAGATTTTGGCGTTTTTGAGGCCTATTTGGGCGGCAAATTCAGTTTGTCACCGTCACCTACCCCAAAATTGTTCATTTCACGACCCTCCGTCACCTGTCACCTGAACATTTAGTCGAAATAGTACAGTAATATGACCCCGCTAACTCGCCCGACTGATCTATTTCTTATGGATTCTCTACTGGTGTCAACCAAGCTTCTCCCTCGTCATCCAGCCTTGCCCGCGTTGCTTTTCCCGCTCGTTACCTTCGTCCGGTTCTCACTACTGCTCCTTGCCTGCTGCGCAGGCCACGTTTTCGCAGCTCGAATCTACGCTGCCTGTTGTCTCTCCCCGACCGGCATCCTCGAGATATCGAAATGGAATTGAGTTTCAATCCTCTCAAGACCCCGGACGTCACTCGCCTGCCGGTTTTCATCCGTCCGTAGCATTTTCACTACCACGACCCACACCCACCCACCCACTTTCTTTTCGGGCCTTGGATCTTCGAGCTGGCGATACTTCATGCAAGACCCGATAGCGGACGGCTGCATCTGCACTCTATCCCTTCTATCTCTGAAGGGAACGCGAAGGACCCCCGTTCGATTCGGGGTCGGGTCGTGTATCCACGGTCACCACTTTTGCACCACATAAGGCCATTCGTCCGGTACCACATTTTTTATTTCAAGCGGCACCACTTGAATTTGAATGTAAGTGTTTTCGTTCATCCCACCAGACCCGGGCATGGAAGGCCTCCTCTGATAGGTGTGAATTCTTCCATCTCAAGTTTTTAGCCTCTGTTCATCCATCAAGGTGTTTCTCTTCGATCTTTGGTAATCCCGCTAAACTTCAATTCACCTCTGTTCCCGAAGTCTCCAGCGTCGCAGGCGGGCATTTCTCACTCTGGTATCTACCGCCTTCCATTCTTTATTTCCCTTTCTCATTCTCAAATAAATATGTAAATAAGCGCCGTAACTCTCGGCCTCTTGTTTAGTCCCGGCTCTTGCGGCGGTATCCCCACATATCTCTTGCGCGTGAACATGGATGAGCTGGAATCCCTATTTCTGTCATCCAGCTTCAGAGCGCATGCATAGACGACCCGTCGAGACTATTTTGACGTACATACAAAGATCAGTCCATTTTTCATCATTTCCACATTGACACTCATCCCGATGTAGAACGAGCGTCGTTGACCCAGAGCGGGTCCATCTAATTCTGTAGCTGGAAGTTACGAGAGGAGCGGGGGTTCGATTCCTCCTGACGGCGTGGAAAGTCCTTCCGAATATTTTTTTTTGTGCTCATCGAAACGGGTGGGTGAGTTGCGAAAGGGAGTGGAGAGCGATCTAGTTTTTCTTCGTCCTAAGTACAGTCGCGCGTCGAGTCAAGTTATTCGCAGTGCAAGATAAGGCTGGCTAAGATTATGAGTACATTCCATTATAATTTAATGTAATGCTAAAATTACGATTAAATACAGCGTGAGGATAATATTAGGCTCTAATATTATCGACCATTCAATTACAATATCTTACGATTACATTACAATATGGGGTACCGTACTCAAATGTAATGTTAATTATATGCATATGGTCTGGGTGCACAAAGACCTCTGTTTTGCAGACTAGATAGGGCTTAGTATGATATAGAAGGCCTAAATCGATACCCCCACTATTTCCTCGACTCATATGGACCAGTGTCTGGTGGTGTAGTTGCAGAAAATTTGAATGCGGATGATCATGTGATCTGGCTCAATTCACCTTGATGTTGCGGAACCAAGACATATGAACTAAATGTGGCTTTCCAAGTCATGGAGTCTGCTTAAAGTGCTAGTACACCTCTGAAGCTGTTAGATGTGTTTTTTTCTTGGTGTTTGGTGCCTGTAAGACTTGGTATAGTCACCTCTGTGAAGATTATGGCTTCCGGTGAAACAAGCTTTAGGACCCTGCCTTCGGCACGGACGCTCGCCCCAAACCCCCCGTGGATTCTCAGTTCGCCAACGCACGGCGGATTCCGAGTCCCGGGGTTCGCCGGTGGATTCCGAGTCCCGTGATTTTTCATGTGACTATATCAGGTGACTTTTTATGTGGCAGTGTTCGTTGTCTCTTAATCCGGTGAAATGTGATAGGATTCAGGCAGAGTTCAGGACGTTCTGGGAGCTTTTCCGGCACCCAGATAGACCGAAAACTTTTGTGGAGGAAAAAATCAGATTAAATACAATTAAATATGGTTAAATTACGATTACATTACATTATCATAACCCTTACGATTAAATATGCGCCTCAACCCTAATATTATATTACGATTACAATACATTACGGCCTGGAGGTGTATTTAATCATAATGGTCCAGCCTTAGTGCAAGAGCATGAAGTCGGCTTCCTTGAACCGTGGATATTACATAATCAGAATAACGAGGAAGGCATAAAATCCAACATGAAGCTGCATGGGCCGTAACGAGGCTGATTTCGGGAAAACATCTGCGGCTCTCTAGAGTGTCCTGCACTACACGAATATTCGGGGGTTGGACAACACAGAACATTGAATTGAACCGATAGTTTCATTTGAAGTGCCTACCAGGAATTGAATTAAACATCGAATAGACGCCCGGGTTAGAGTTTGATTCATCACCCAGTTTCTGCTGGTACACACAATACGTAAATCGAACCTGGGGAGTGATTGTGTCTTTTTGAGACTGGACAAATTCGATGCATTCGAGCCGGTCTTCATTTCTGTAGTATTTGCCTACGATTACATATGGCGGTCCGGATGCACTTTTATTCCCACCCCGAAAACTTTTGACCCCGCCCCGCAAACTTGCCTTTTTGGTGTCCCCGCGCGCGAATTTGGTAATTTGATCCCGTCAACATGTTTTGCGCGGACGGCATGTTCCGCCCCACGCGATTTTGGCCCCGCGCGCGCGCAAAACCGAACTTCCGCGCGCGCGCGCGAATTTTCTTTGGTGGTCCTTCCGCGAAAACATTGATGAGTAAAGGTCTGAGATTAGATTCTAGATAAGTAAGGTACGTAATCACGAGAGTGTGAATAGTATTTAGTGTTGTTCGGGTCGGGTCGGGCTTGGGCTTAAGCCCCGGCCTGGTTGATGTTTTCTCTCAATTGATATGAGGCTTTCAATCAGTTGGTAAGTGTCCTGTTGAACAGCTAATTCGAGCAATCATAGCACCCAGAGAGGCCCGGGTCGCGGGTTTGAAAATTTATCAGCCAACCCTGAATCCGACTCATGCCCACCTCGGTCGGGCCTGGGTCAGACCTGGAAGCCTGGGCGTGGGTAGGGCTTGAGCTTGAGCCCAATCTGGGACAACACTAGAGGTATTAGAGCAAAGCTTGAATTGGGTAGTTATTAGGAGAAAATACGAAATTAAGATGTGTGTGATTGAAGTCCCATGAATGAACAGAGTGGGTATTCAATGGGAGATGTAGCGGGAGGGAGTGAGTGAAAGGAAGGAGGCCAAGGGTGACAAATGACTGGATGAATAATAGGATTGACCAGTAAAGTCGAACGTTCACGTAGTTCAACAGCGACGCCAGACAAGACGCCAGATGTTAGAAGTTGCCTTCGGGATGCACCTCGGCTTCCCCGATCCAGTGCTGAAGGTCGAAGATAAGCCCTGAGTCTAACAGGATGCTTACTCACTGATTGAAAGCCTCATGTCAATTGAGAGAAAAAATCAACCAGGCCGGGGCTTAAGCCCAAGCCCGACCCGACCCGAATAACACTAAATACCATTCACACTCTCGTGATTACGTACCTTACTTATCTAGAATCTAATCTCAGACCTTTACTCATCAATGTTTTCGCGGAAGGACCACCAAAGAAAATTCGCACGCGCTGACGAACCAGCCGACGTTCCAAGCGCGAGCTGAACCTGAAACAAATCAGGCAAGCGGCAAGGAGGTCGGAAGGATGCTGAGGGTGCGAGTTGGATCAAGGCAAAGCTCAGAGTCTTGTGCCGAGCAAGAACGAGGTGAGACCGCGGCAACGACGAAGGCCGGGTTTGAGGACGATGTAGGACAAATCCGTAGCAAAGGGGATCGTATTGGGAGTGGTAGTGGGTACAGAATATATAGTAAGTAAAATAGGAGTGAAATGGAAGATACCGAGTCTAAGACAGGCAGATATAAATATTGAATTGGGCGGATACGGGTGCAGCGGGACGCGAGGCGCGTCAGCGCGCGCGGAAGTTCGGTTTTGCGCGCGCGGGGCCAAAATCGCGCGGGGCGGAACATGCCGTCCGCGCAAAACATGTTGACGGGATCAAATTACCAAATTCGCGCGCGGGGACACCAAAAAAGGCAAGTTTGCGGGGCGGGGTCAAAAGTTTGCGGGGCGGGAATAAAAGTGCATCCGGACCGCCATAATTACACAGTGTGTAAAATCCATACAAGATCGAACAAAAGATCAGCAGAAGGAAAACGCGTAAAAAAACCCTCTTCCGTGAATTATGACCCGACCCCGAGTCGAACGGGGCGTATTCCGCTAGTACTTGATGGATCCATGCTTAAGGAGCACGGATGCGGCCCTCACCGTCGGGTCTGCTCTCGGGAGGTTGGAGCGAGAATACGAGGAGAATGATGAGAGGAATTATCCGGAGGGGGTACGTTGTTATTACGGCTCACCAGATGAAGAATTAGAACAAGGTCAAAAAGACAAACACCAGAGTAGAGTTATGACCCGACCCCGAGTCGAACGGGGGTTTTCCGCTGATATCTCGAACTTCTCGCGGATAAATTGCGGATGCGGCCCTCCGCCATCGGGTCCTGCCCAAATAGAATGGAGGAATCGTATGTGCACGAATTTTCCACGTATTAAATCTCTTTCGCAGTGTAAGCTTCTCGTTGAGGCTATTGTCAGTACACCTAATTGGGGAGGCTGCCGGAGAATTTACCTCATAGAAAAGGGAAGCAAGCAGCGTGCTCACTGAAACCACTGATCAAGATATACATTTGAATCCAGCGACGTGCCCGGCTAACCTCGCAAATCATCCAACCGAGGACGCGGAAAACGTGGCATCAAAAATGCGTGTCCAACAGATGAATGACCCGGCCCCGAGTCGAACGGGGTGTGTTGCGCTTGTAACTCACACATCTTTACATTTGATAGAGCGGGGTTGAGGTCCTCACCACCGGGTCGTAACAAGGGAGGATGACGCCGGAATCTGAAGAGGTGTTATCTGGAGGAAGGGCAATTTAGTCGAAATATGGGATGGGAAAGATAAGAATGCTGCGAAAAAGCCGGTCGAAGTGGCCCTAGTCACCAAGATTTCATCCGAGACAAGAGGTTGTAAAACAAAACAAAACCACTTCGTAGCTTTGTAAGGAAGCAGCGAGCCAGCCAGCCTAGCGTCGGTGCGAAATAAGGAGGAATTCACCGGAAAAAAAAGAAATAGGTCGTCGAATATGATGCCTGGAGCGACTTACCTCGGCCGTTAGAGGCAATAATTGCAGAGCAGATGACAAAGGAGAGAGTTGCCGGTCGGGTCGGTGGTAGATGGTACAGATACACCGTAGATATCGCACCATTGGATCCTGGAATCAGGGGAGGTGAAGGAATCCTATTTCAAAGTTTGGCGGGGTTCAAGTTCACTCTAAATCTCGAAGAAAAGAGGAGAGGAAGAGGAGCTAAAAATTGAATGAAAAAAGGGCGTTGAATCCATTCGGAAATGACATCTTGTAGCGCGGAAGGAAGGATACCAGCCCAGTGTAGGCGACTAATGGAACACATTTGAGAAGAGAACCAACTGGATAAGAGTCTATAAGTCAGAGAGGGCATCGAGACCTTGGAGAATCGAAGAGCCGGAGGAAGCCAAGACGAGAGAGCGAGAGTCCGTGAAGCCGCGTTGCCCGTATGTATGACGGCGACGCAACGACGACGTCGAGGGGAGGCGGTTTCCAGTTCAAGATTTCAAGCCGGAGATGGATCTGAGAGGGGAGTGCTTGAGCAATGAGACAGAGTCACAGATTGCTGAGCGAGACGGTGAGATGAGATGACAAGGACCGACGCGTCATTGATGGATTTGATGGCCGTCTGATCCGAGCGCCGTGATTGGTCGATCGGAGCCAACTCGGCCGTCTTTCGCAGTCCTTCACAGCTGGTGGAAGCCTCCACCTCCCTTCCACCTCCGATTGAAAAGTGATTACTTCCCAGGGACAAGATTTTCCTCATGCTAAACAACTCTGGTTCTTCTCGTCTCTGGATGGCCTCACGTTCCCGTTCATCCTTGGAAATCTGCCATGTCTGGAACTCAGTGGCGCACTAGTACTACTGTCTTCCAGCGGCATGCCTCCCTCAGCATGAATATATCAAGGCACTTTCTATTGCTTCGGCACCCACCGCACCTGGATTCTGTTCTCGTCTGGCGTATCCGGCTTCCTTGTGCAATTCTGTCAATTATTGTACCACCTCGCCGTCGAATATACAGTTGGCCATTGTCTCGGCACCTCTCCGTCTCCGTAAAATATTCCCGTTGTTCACTTACTTTTATGACGCAACTGGATCCTCTATAAGTGGAATCTCCTTTTCTTTCGTAGTCCTGGCTTCGTGAAGAGTTTTCCGCGCTGGCAGGAATTCGTCCATCTGATCTACCCAAATCAAGACGGTGAGTATCCAGCCCTCATGAAATCCACTATAACTTACAAGCTGCATATACCCACCGCAGAAAATCCGTTGCTGAATGGTGGCAGGTCCACCCTGAATTGTACCTGGAGTGGCGAGATGATTTCCGAGGAACACGAAGGTTCGAATCCTCCCGACGGCGTGGGTGTTGCAGACTGCTTTTTTGGGTAATGCTTAAATTTTGGAGTATCCTCTGCTGCTCTGGTTTATTCTTGGCAAGCTGCGCTTTTAAATTCATACTGTTACCACACCGCTCCCTGCGGTTTCAGAATTCAATGCTCTTCCCTGGTGGTCTCTACCTTCAACTACGCAAATCCAGAAGCCCAACTTAGAACCTTCTCCGTCTCCTTCTCGCACTCAAATCTTGGTTGTCTCAGCCCACGAGCCTCTGGCTCTTCATCTGGGTCTCCCCGTGCACATTTGGCAAATCGTGACTCTTCAAAAGAAAATCCTTCCGATATCCACGTCGCGCAATGTAATGTATGCACGACCCGACAGCGGATGACCGCATCTGCGTACATTAGAATCGTTCTATATGTTTCAAGCAGAATCTCCCGTTCGACTGGGGGTCGGGTCATCCATATAAAAGCTTTTTTCGTCAAAAATTATGTACAATAAGAGTGGAACATTCAACATTCTGCTTCTACATTCCAACCAGTACATGTGCAGTTATTTTGGGTACAGGGAGTGGTTTATTGTACATTTGATCTGATAATTTAACAACTTTATTGTACATTCACACCGACGTTTACCAAATTTAGGGATGCCGGACTCACAATATGAAACGCAGTTGCTAGGGTTAGGGTTTCCCGATATAGTAATAGATAAGATGAGATAAACCATATAAGGAAACCTAACCCTAGCAATTGCGTTTCAGATTGTGAATCCGGCGTCCCTAAATTTGGCACACGTCAGTGTGATTGTACATTGCACTTCGAACTCACAGCCTCAGTTGAGAAAGCACTCAGTTTTCTACACCCTACTTACAACAGTGCACAGTCCATACAGATGTTTCGACTTCTTGAAGATGAAATTGTACAATTCATGGTGCCTGGTTTGTATAACACAATAATGCCGCACCCTAATGGGATTCTATCAATCCCAACCTGTCCAATTGGGTTGTCCGATCAAAACCAAGTGAACTGTGAGAATTACTATCAATCCCATTTGGGAACAGCCATCAATACCAACCAAGCCTGTCAATTCCAGCCCCAAACCAACTGCTGTCATCCTCCTGGCCACACCTGTTGGGTGTTTCCCAGTTGGGCTTGAGCCTGAGCCTAACCCGAGGCCAGCCTGAGTGGGGCTCAGGGCCTCAATCTTTTTCCAAGTTAGTGACCCAAGCTTAGGTGGGGATGCCCAACATTGCCATCTTAAGGGGGACGTCCCGTCTCATCAAGGTGCTCGCTTGATGAAACCAATTCTTTCATGTTGATTTTAAGCCAAAAATGAATGAGAATTCAAAAAATAAAATTGATGCTCTGGCACTAAAAATCAATAAGACTGACCATGGTCCACTGAATTTGTTGAATGGGGTAGAACGAACAGGTGATATTATCTGATTTGGTGCATCAGTGGCGTCACCTATAAACTGACCTCCTTCACGTGAATTATCAAATGAAAGCTGACGGAGGGCATACCCGAGGACTCCTGAACTAATTGAACTCTTAGAATCCCAAGTTGACTCCTGGATCCCAATAGAAAAAGACAGCAGCCACAGTGGCAGCCCGCACCCATCATGGCATCGCAAATAGGATGCCCATGCCCGTTGACGGGACAGTGGGTATCCCGTGCTGCTTGGGCCTAGGACCTCTTTTATAAAATTGTCAGTTCAAATTTTGCCTTTGAGGGTAAGAGATCTAGAGGAGAGAAGTTTCTGCCAGCCCAAAATTGACAGTCTTTCATTCTCTTTCTCCAAGTGGTCCGGAAGATTTTCTCCTTTCTAAATCTGGAGATACAAGTTTGAAATCTGAAATCTGGAGGTCAAAATGTCTCCCATGCACTTAGAGTGTATGATCTATGAAAATAGGATATTTATGAGCCGTTTCAAAAAAAGTGAGAAAAAAAATCCAACCTAACCACGACCAAAGTGGGAGGGTAATGTGTGTGGGTGTTGGGATTACCCGTTGTTAGCATACAAGACATGACGCGCCGCCTTGTTCTCCGCCACAACCTGCGGTCGTGGTCTCGCTTCTTCTCTTTATGCTCATTTCCTTTATTTCACGCGTTCTTTATCATTCTGACTCCTTTGTTATCCTTACAGTATATATACCCTGCGAGCTGCAGTGTAGACTCATCCGCGTCTCACACTGCGCTCGCAGTTATCTAGCTCTTTGTCGTCGCATGCGATATTTGACCCCACCCTCCATCCCTATTCCATTTTATTCCATTCTACATACTACTTTCTATTTACTTGTCCCTCGTAGTTAGCTTGAGTCTGATCCACCCGATCAACTCGAGAACTTTAGGACCCAAACAAAGCCCAATTTAGGGCCAGGCTTGGGATATTTACCAACCAAGCCCACTGTTGTTGAACCTGACCTAAGTCTGCTCTGATTAGGGCAAGCCAAGGGGTCACCATGGCTGATTCCTGTTGATTCTATCTGCATGTTGAGAAGTGTGTTAGCACAGCACGGAATTCTATTATCTGAGAAATAGGTGAATGAATCAGACTGTCAGAATAAGAGAGTCTCCCTCAACGTGGTGAGAATTGAATTTCGAATCCAGATATGATTCAAGCGGGTCCAAGCCACATTTAATTCTGACTTGATTCCAGCTTCAGAACAGGGCCAAAATTCAAATCTGAAATGACTTAGAATCAACAATGAAAATTGTTTACTGGCTTGTATATTTCTACAGTGGATATCTAAATGTAGCCAGGGGGGCCAGCCACCTGGAGTAGTCAGCCTGTTGGAATTTTAATGTTTAACTGCACTGCCCTCCCCCAAATGCAAGCAGGAAATGGGTCCCTTTCACTTGGGGAATTGTCCATCAAATGGTAAGACTAGAGAGTCAGGTTCAGAGTAAGCCTTTGAATTTGTTCTGCCTAACTTCTCTGACTTCCCTTCATGGGGATGACTGTGGTGCACTTCTATTTTCCGTGAGAGATGTGTTTTGGGCTTTCATTTCAGAATGTGTAGTCTCT